GGATACACTGGATGGTGGTGAATAGGGACGATGCCCGGAGATTGACCTGTCTTTATTTGGAGCCTTTCTAATCTTTTTATGCCAATGGTCGTGTGAAGATGACAGATGCCACTGAGTCAAAACATAGAAGATTCAGATGTTGAAGAGGCAGTGGAATTTGCCGTGCGGACATTAGGCTTCACACAGCTTCACCAAGTCCCTTCCCTACGCTCGCACAATTGTGTGATTCCATGTGATTCCTTAAGCGACCTTGCATCGAGGAGTCTGATTAAGACTGATACCATGCAGGCTGCAGCCAATTCCAACCATTGCCAAGGTTACGCCACACTGACTTGGATGAGGGTGTGGCACGGGAACCCTGGGAGCCAGCGTCACCATCAGTAGTTAGTCCAGGGTAGTTAAGTTGCATTCTGCTCAATATCTAGCAGCTTTGGATGTTTGTGGCTGATCATGATTGAATGTTTGTGGCCAAGCAATCCATTCTCGGCGATCTGAGGAGGTGCCCATCTCGCCCAGCGTCATTCCAAGCGTGTGCCGTGTGGACCTTGGACGAGCAAATAATTACTGCATCAAATTAGCTGGGCTCCGTAATGCTCCATGGGTTTCAGGTGGATGGTTTGGGCAGAACTGCAGACCGCCTAAAACACAAGTTGGTGCTGACAAGGAAGGCTATCAAGACAAGGCGACGGAGGTGTTGGCTGTTGTGACTCACTATATACTGTAGATGGCCCTGCAATGTTGCAGATGCTCTATACTACTGGATACTGATGGTTGTCAAAGGTGCCAATCTGTGCTGCTTGCTGCGCATGTAGCCGAACTGCTAGAATGGCCAGGGGTGATCCCTTCTTTAGTCTTTTTTGTTACTGCTTCATTTGCAAAAGTACTCAGTTTGATGTATTCTCGTTTGGCAACCAGAGCAGCTGTATGAGTTTGAGTGTATTGGCATGCCAAGGTTTGTTGTACCTGAGAACCGAAGTCTCGACGATTCCAATGACTCGGCTTTGCTTCAACCTGTCTCTTCATCCAACGACGCCTAGTGCAGATTCAGCGCGTCTTCGACAGTTTCCACTTGTCAACTTGTCACTCCTTAAGTACAGATGCCTTGGATACCATTGGATATCTGCAGGGTGGGATTGACCGCCAAAACTGCTTTTGTAACATTCTGTGACAGTTGTACTTTCTTTTTAAACATGTTCCTTGGAGTTGAGGGACCTGCCCTTTTGTCAGGACGCGGAGTGCTCTGCTGGGCCACTTCTTGATTCTGCTGTGCAACTTGTATGTATAGTCTTTCTATGCTAGTATAGTATGCCTCACTGATTCTAGTTCAAACGCATTGCACAATCTGTTTGGTGCAGACGTTTACAGGCAAGTAGAAAGGGTCGTCTTCGGGTATACCGACTGTCTCTTGGCCTTGTGAGGTAAACGCACAGAAGCAGATGCTCCCATGGATGCCCTGCCACCTCCATGCTTATTTGAAGCCTCGGATGGGAAAGCCTACAGAAGTCCTCTGGAGGTGCAGTCTGTTGGCTCTCAGAGGATACTGGCCATTTTGGCATATTTGCTCCGCCGGGTACCGCAGTGTGGAGAGTTCTTTGCACGGAAGCTTGCACATGAAGCATGGATGAGCGGTTCCTCGGCAAGAGATGGATATGAATCATGACAACACAATAATGAATCAAGATATGAATAATGAATCATGCCTCTTGACCAACTTTTTGTCAAGGCGCCATTTTGAAGACGGACATGGCTTGGTATGTGCAACAGGATTTCCCCAAACATGAAAAGCTCTTACTTGGCTATACCGTTACCTACTAAGCTAGCTGCTTAAGCTAAGTAAGCTACTTAAGCTACTGCTACTTGAGCTAGCTGCTTTCCAGTGGCCTTACACACAAAGGACTCCCGGACTGTTCAATCCAGTCTGAGGCTTTCAATCGCCCAAGCTCTCACCAGATCGCAGCAAAAAGGCCCGGGTTGATCAGGTCTTGATGCCTGGCAATCTTCCCATCGCGCAGCTTCCAGGCATCCAAGCAAGCAAGCCAGAAGCAGGGTGTGTTGGGACTGCTCATGTCCAAGGTTGAAGGAGGCCTGCTGATGTGTTCCAAAATGTCTGAGTAAGGGGCAGTGGGCTTGAGATTTCAAGGGGGCTATTCTTATTGGTGGATTCTTATGCTGCTTTTGCAAACTTTCAAGGTCACTCCTGAGTACTAACTTCACAGATGGAACATGTCCCCATTAGGAGGAGATTAGTATGGAATCCTCACCAAAGTGTTCCGAAAGCCATGGGCTTTTTTGCTCCAAGTTATGTTCCGCGCTGTTGATGTGTTATTCTTTCTAGTGGCCCTGGTAGGAATTGATTCTACTTGGGGTCAGATGTAGTCCAGGGTGCTTGTCCAAGGTCGCAAATAACATTTGGTGTTCAGGATGCCGCAAGACTGCCTGTCGTCCACCCAGGCATTTGTTCGGTGAACTTGCTCATGCAGTTGGTGAACACAAGACTGTATTTGTCTTCATCTCGACATGCTGCATGGTTGCTATCTGTTCTTCATGCGCTGCTGGTGCCACAGCCAGAAGGAGCCTGGAGTTCGAAGGTATTCAATTCGATTGTACGTCCAGCTAGCTGGGTGGTTTAGAATTCAACGCTCAAAAGAATCTAACTTATACTGTATAAACATAGCAAAAAAACAGAAAAGCACTTGTGGAGTCACCGGTGCAATTGCAGAAATGATCAGTGCCGATCAACTTGAGCAACCGTTCTCTGTTTTGTTGTGCTTGCAAGACGTGTGAAAATCCTTTTCTTCATTTCTCCCAAGAGACGGGGGGTTCTCCGGGAAGGTATCATCTTCATAGCATTATTTTGGGTATCACAGCGTGATCCTCGGTTTCATAACATGATCATCGGTTTCATAGCATTGTCATCGGTTTCACAACATTGTCATCGGCTTCATAACATTGTCATTGGATGACACTGTGATTAAATTGTGGTGGGGGGCGCCCATCATCCGCCTCATAACATGATCATCGGTTGCATAACAAGATCATCGGTTTCACAACATTGTCATCGGTTTCATAACATGATCATCGGTACCACAACATGATCATCGGTGTCATAACATGATCATCGGCTTCATAACATTGGCATCGGTTTCACAACATTGTCATCGGATGACAATGTGATTAAATTGGGGTGGGGGGAGGGGGAAATGGAAGGGTTGGGGGGTGGCAGTCGCTGTGAAAAAGACACAAACTATGCGGCTCATTTCGGACCTCATTTCGGACACTCTCAGGATATACGGGTTTTAACCGTGAAAACGCACCAACTACTTTTTCCCATCGCAAAACATAGGGTTTCGAGCGCGTCCACATGCATTTTTTCGCGCATGCCCGAGAATCATAACAGAATGACAAGCAGTTTGCATACATGCCCCACAGAAAGCTCATCATTGAGAGCCTTTGCAAAGACTCAACATGCGCGAACATACTTGAAATTTGTTCGCGCAACTTGATGCTTAAGATACCCATTCAAACATCAGTGTGCAGGCTTCTCACTGGTGGCCCTGCGAAAATTCACTATCCAAGCTGGACACAACCTATTGAATTCTTCGGAGAACCTCCTGTCTCTACCGTCATTTGTATACGGTAAGCTCCCAAGAAACTATGACATCTAATGAATCTACTGCCAAGGAAGCTCTGCCAAAGACGCGAGCGGTGATGTCCCTATGGCGGATGCAACACAGCGGCCTGAGAATCCGACAAGTGGAGCGACAGGCGGAGCGACAAGCGGAGCGACAGGCAGAGCTGCTGGGTAGGGCATCTCAAACATGTCTGTTTTTCAAGTAGGAAGTCGTGTTATTTGGTTATATGCTATGATCTGAGCAACGGAGCAGATTGCCTTAAAATGCAGGATCGGTGCCCAGCGAGGCTGCGCCGGCCGCCGTGCCCGCAGCCGCAACTGCAGTTGCTGTGTCAAGCAGGGCCTCTAGTTCGAGCGTGCCATCCACCTCGCCAGCGCCCGTTGAAGCTGCTCCTGTGCCGGGCGTGCAGAGATGGACGAAGATCATTAAGGTGAAGGGTTGGGCGTTGTGAGCTTGATTGTTTCATTTGTTGTCCCCAGAATATTTGCTGACACACGGGTTGACTATATTGACTGAGAAGGGAACGTTGATGAAAGTTGGGGTACGACTCCGGCCCAGTTTTGTGGTTTTGGATCAGAATCCTCCAAGTCTTGCACTGCAGGCAATGTCCATTGCCCTACGATTTTTCGGGTTTGTTGGGGTCCAGGTCAAGTATCCAGTATGCCAATGTTTGAGCTATGCTTGGCAGAACTCTGCAATGGCATCATTCTCGAAAAAGAACAGAGCATCAAACTGAAGGGGTCCTAAGTATACAGATAATCAGGAACCAAACCACATTCACAAGAGTTGAATTTGAGTGCAATAGTCTATTGATAATTCATTGATGTTTCTTGTTCCAACCCACGATGCACAGGTAAATAGCCCAGGTACTGGGCACTGAGGGTTGGTGATGGAAAAGGATGTTGACGGGGTGCGAAAGCTTGGAATTTTATTTGCAACGTATACATATAGTCAGAACAAACACGAAGTCCCAAAACATGACTCGGTCAGAGGTCGAACGTCAGATCAACCTAGCAGCAATATGCAGCAATCTCTTTTGCATGACTGCAGTCTATATATCCATTATGACAACCAATTATGTACTTATTTATTTGCCAAGTGTTCGAATCTGCAAGTTGTATGAGCTTGACCTAAAGCATAGGAAAACAACACAGAACATTAACATCGGGAAATGACGCTTTGTGACTAATATAAGCCTGCATGGCTACGACCGCTATACATGTTCAAGAGCTGTCATCCACAGTGCACCTTTCGGTCAAGAAGTCCAATCTGGGGACTGCTTGGACGACTTCTGGACATGTTAACAGTTGTTAACCTCCAGTCAACCTTCACCCCCTCCAGGCCCATCAAACAAGCCTGCGCGAGGACATGCACATGTCACTCTCTCAAGAAAGTGTGCTGGCCTTGTGCCACTTCTTATGTCATGCCGGCAGTGGTCATGGATCCAGCAGTCGCTCGGCAGGGATTTAAAAGCAGGACAGCAACTCTGTAGATCTAAATGGCGATTGCCATTTCTCTACACTTGATGTCCATGTTGTGATTTTGCTGGCAAAACAAAAAGACAGGTAGATTTATCTAATTTTATCTATATAGATAACCCTTGTTGCTACCAGCTTTCTAAAATGAGTGTGGTCCACCACGGAAAAATAAGTCTATTTGACTCATTTAGTTTACAGGTTATCTAAAATGGGTCTTAAATATCTTAAATGAAATGGTCGGCAGTGGCAGATTTGCAAACTTGTCAAATTAGCCAGTTGTTTTAGATAACATTGTGAGAAAGTTATTTTCTGTTTCACTTTTTCCGAGTATATAGATTAACTGTGTGAAAGTCAGTTTATTGAACATTGTTTAACCAATTTATGGATAAAATGAGGGGGAGAACTTCTATAGTCGGTAGCAACGGGATTCTAGATTCTACATTGTGCCGGCACCGCGGGTTCCAAATCTGCGCCGCACTCCCCCCAGATATCGGCGTATCGGCGTATCGGCGCAGCTCAGAAAAAACCCGCCATGCCACCACGCTGAGATTCTAGATAATTCTTTAAATGTATGGAGGATCGTGCGCACTGTAGTGTGCAGAGAGAGAGAGAGAGAGGAAGCGGGGATCGAGAGAGCAAGCAAGCAAGAAACCGTACTCCGTAGTAGTGCCATAGTAAGCTATTAAGTTGGGGGCCATCGCTATTAGGTTGGACTCTGTTGACTTATTGCACCCCAGTTTGCTTCAATGACTAGCACATGGCCGACCAACTTGCATGGACAATGGTCCGGAGATTTGAAGCATGCTGCATGCTTGAGCGGACGCGACGTCCAAGCATGGTTCCAAGGGTTCCACTGTTCCGATTGTGAGTCTGCTTTTTGTGTGAGATGATTTGGGATACTGGGAGCTAGCAAAAGTTAGCATCACTTTGTTGAGGTTTCTTGGTGATCGAGAAGGTAACCATTGACGGCTGTTCTCAAATTTTGAGAACGTGTTTTTTGTTGGACAGTTGGACATACTTTGTGATCCCTGATGACCGGGGGTCAGGCAAATGCCGTGAAAGGATTTCTACACTCATTGGATCCATTTTCAGCAACCTCGACAACCCGATGGTTTCTGTCGATATGAGGCGAAGGCGATGCCTTTCAACTTGCAGGGGAAATTTTAGTGGCCTTGGCTGCCCGGCAGCACCTGGACATTGTCCGCAGCGAGTTGATGAAGGCGAGACTGCTTGAGAACACGTTGAGAATCGTTGAAATATGAGTTGTTTTTTGGTTTTAAGAAGCGAACTAATATTCCGTGAATCAAGCGCTAGCAATAGATCATTGCTAAGATTTGTTCATTGAATTCTCATGCGACAATCGAGATGTTGCTATATTATACATCTATGAAGGTATCGTTATCATTCTCTGGGCCGGAGCATTCACTGCTGGCCAGGTCTTGTCAAGCTTGGTGACGGACATCGAAAAGGCTGGACTGAGAAGAGCAACGGAGAGCATATTGTTTGAATTCAAGCAAAAGAACAAGTATTTATAAAAAGAAGACACGGAGATAAGTGTCCACACTGTGTGGTTTAGGTCAAAGTTGCATGTTCGAAGTGTGACGAAGAAAGATAGTAAAAACATGGTGTTTTCGGGCCATTTGCCTTTTGGCCCCAGAGTATTCAGACTATCAAGATGGAAGGAATATCAGTTGTCACGAGTTCTCAAAGTATTCGCGGATACTTGAGAGGTCCGCATAGGCGCACTCCAACCTAATAGCGATGGCCTCCAACTCTTCTATTCTTTCGCGTTCTTTTTCAGATTGAATTGAATTGTGCTGTGTATATCCATTTTTGCCGAGAGGCCCTGGAATCGGAGGGATCATCCTCGGAGCCCTCTACTGTGGAGTCGCGCTTCTTGCGGGTTGTTCCCTGGCAAATCTACTGAAGCACTCAAGTAGGGCCTTTACAATTTTATAATGGACACACTTTTTGATGGTGCAACCAGGTCTTTTTGGCACAGAAGGGTGAGTACGTAGTTGCAAACTTGGTAACAAGGTAGGCATAGATAAACTACTCAAACAAGATAAAACGCCGAAACAGTTGCTACTACATTTCCACAGGAGATGAGACCATGATGTTGTTGGCTTGCAGGTCCTAAGGTGAGGCAACCCTATGCAGGCTTGGACAGTTGAGCAAAGTGCTAAAGGTCAGCGCTCACGTTTCTTGAAAAAACAGAGGAAATTTGCATTGTCTTTGAACAAAAACGATTGTATTCCCAAAACGATACCTAGCCTTGTGACGGTACAAATCTTGGAGTCTATCTTTGCCTATTGACACCGTTGACACTCGAGACAGCGTATGTCCAATGATTTTTTGCATATGGTTTGCCACGCTAGTTGGACATTCCATTTTGTCTTTTGCTCATCTTCCCTTCTTTTTTTTTCGATGGGAAACAATTTGGGTTTGGACCGATACCAAAACGATACCAAACGATACTCACTTCATAGGTCTATATGCCCTTGAACCACCTGCCCACTTACATGCTACTACTACTGCCGCTTCTTCTGCTTTTGCTAATACTATTGACACTACCATCACCACCACCACAACCACCACTACTACTATCTTCTACTACTACTCCTGCTGCTGCTACTACTACTACTTCTACTACTACTACTTCTCCTACTACTACTCCTACTACTCCTACTCCTACTCCTACTCCTACTACTACTACTACTACTACTACTACTACTACTACTACTACTACT